CAGGACAACCTGTGCACGAGGGATTTCTCACGTTTCACCCCGACCATCTGATACCAGTCACTCTTAAAGGAGACGGGATAAAGGAGCGGGTGGATGGGCAACTCCGCGCGACGATCTAGCTGCAGTTTGACAACGACGGACCCCTCGTGTGCGGCTTTTCTCAACGGCTGCGTTGCTCCTGCAGAATTGCTCCATCCGCACTGCTGGAGACGCCAGTTGTGGTTGCAGAGGCACCTTCCACTCTTTTTCCAGGAACTTAAACTTTCAAAACACGTTTGAAAGGCTGAAAGGTTTCATGCTTGCTCTCCAAGAGTAAATTATGTAAATAAAGAATTTTTTATAATAAGAAATAATAGTTTGGATGGGGGGAAAAGGGGAAGCTTGGCAACTCAAATAGCTTTTTATTTTGAATAAACATATAAGGCACTTAGAAATAGAGCCGTATCACAAGAAATTGCTAAACTTGAATATCTGGATAGCCAAAGTACCAATCTTTCAGAAGCCATGCACATGCCCGGCAAGCTGGATGAAGACATCCAGCACACATACCAGTGGTTCCACTGGTTCTACATTTACTCGTGGCTTCTCCTAAGCTCTACTTCGGATAATGAAGGCAGCGCAGTCAGCCGCTGAAGAGACAGAGAAAAGCAGAAAAAATTCCTTAACTACAGGTGACGGCTACACATTTTATTCTTTTTTCATCAGGTAAGTGTTAGTAACATTTTGTACTCATAAAAGCTGAGATTTACAGCCTGTAGAACTTTTTAAAAGCATCATATCTACAGAAGTTATCAACAAAAGACTGTATTTTCCTGAACATGATTTTTCTTCCCCTCAATGACATTCTAACATTAAACAATTTTTCAAACAATTTATGAGAATAACATTTCCTATGGCTAGCAGATTACCAAGATGGTTAATCATCACCAACTCTTCCTCATGCTTGAGGATTCTTGTGCCAGTAAAAACTTCACTCAAAAATCCCACAGCACCTTAGTGTCTCACAAGCAGAGACTTTCTGCTCATGTTGATAAACACAAGAAAAGAAATATTACACTACTTGCTAGCCAAACAGTACTTCCTTCCAACACTCTTGACCTTTTTAAAACTGTCACTTTTATTTTAATGGTAACATGATTAAGGGTGTAATTGGAGATCTGCATTTGCTGATGCCTCTAGAGTAGTGTTCTCTTAACATCTGAAAAACCAAATATAACCCACATATGTAGCTTTAAAGCAGAAAATCATAAAGGTAAACAGGTGCAAGAAAAACAAGGTTAAACACTCATTCTCCTTTTCCAAATTTTTTTTTTTTTTTAATCAGGTTCTGAAATATTTCCAGGAGTTCTGCCATCTCCTCTATCTTCTGTAGAATGTGCAACTGCTAAAATCTTGTGCATGATTGATATTCCTAATTAGGCAGCTCCATCACTTTTGCTAAAGACCTTCAAAGGAACATAAGAAGAAGTTCTGTAAAATATTTGATATGTTCTGGTTAACAATTTAAAATTGTAAAATACATCAAAGGCTGTGCAAGTGGAAGTCAGTAAGAATTCAGGATTGCATCATAAATGGAAGAAACATCTATAATGTGGTTATTTGAATTTTCATTGCTTTTGTAATAAACTCTTTTACACAGCACTAATCATGTGAGAATTCTCTTGCTACACTCAAACAAGTAGGATACTGTTGGATTTTTCAGTAAAAGGCATCATCAGTAGCTTGCGAGGAATAACAAAAGGTTCTCAAGAGAGACTTGAAATCCCAGTTATTTGCACTAGTTGTAACCACGCTTTCCAGATTTCTGCATTTAAATATAATATCAGTTTAAGTAAAGGCACGCAAGGCTGCTAGAAATCTGGGTTTTTTTTGTGTGTGGTTTGTTTTTTTTTTTTTTTTTAAATTCTAGGAACAGACAGGGAAAGAAATTGCATCAATAAATCATTACAGTCTTCCTACCCCCCTCCTTCAAAATTTCCAACACAACTGTACCAAAAAACCTATTATGCTAAATCTCAGAATTATCTGGGTCCAACAGGCATTATTACTACATTCTTCTTTAGAACCTAACCCTTGTGATTCTGAAAGAGTGTGTGTATTCTACCCCCTTTATGAAAATCTGAGAAGCAATGGTGTATGTAGACACCCCTCTACACTTTTTTTAAAAGCAGGGTAAACTACCAGAAATAAGCATAGAATCATTAAGGTTCGAAAAGACCTCTAAGATCATCAAGTCCAACTGTCAGCCCACCACCACCATGCCCACTCAACCATGTCTAACGTCTACATATTTTTTATATTAAAATCTGAAGAACTGCTTTTAAACAAAGTCATTAAAGTAATTTTTGACATAGTAACTGACACATATTGGGGTATTCCACAAGTTCATGGCCAGTTAGAGCCTCAGTCCTCCAAACTCAACATTACTGAAACCGGCTGCTAAGCTGTTGCAGGGTTACATCCTGCCCACAATCAGAATACAACACAGGCAAAATATACTCTAAAACTGAAATTAAAATGAGATCTTTCAGGACTCTTACATATGAGTTAATACTTCTAACCACAGAAATCAGCGATTGAGATTGTAATTATTCCCTAATAACCCACTTCTGTCCCATACCTTGAAAATTTTGCATAATATTCTTAAAATGTATTTGGCCTGAAAAAATGTAAGACTCCACGTTTAAAATCACTGACGAGCTCTTAACTCTCAGGATTATTAACAAGTGATTCTGACTTTTTGAAAATGATAAAACCACCTCTTCAGTATCTGACAAAATGTACAGAACACCAAAGCCAAACAAAATCACCTGCACTTGGTCTTTTCCCCATTGCTGTGAAGCTCTACACCAAGACCAATGAACAGGCTTACTTCTAATAAACTTAAGAACAAAATGCAGAATAAAGCTTCGTAATAACTCTGGGAGCTGCATCATGTGTCCTACTGTTGCAAGAGCTTCCCAGACTGCAGTTTCTCCAACAGGAACTCCCACACTACTTCGCTGGTAAAACAGGTACAAGATGCTGCTTTTAGAACTAAGACATGGAAAGGGACGCCCACTGTCAGTGTTTAAAATGCTGAGAATTTGAACTGATCCCCCAAAGGCTTACTTAGCTGGAGCTAGGAAACATTTTGCCCAACAAATCTTAAAAATTCTAATAAAACAGGCACCATTTATATTACGCAGTGTTGAAAGGGTTTTGGGAAAAGTTCAGTCCCTAAAACGGCTAAAGATCTCCTTTGGACAGTTTAGCACTTTAGACAGATACGAAAGCATGCCTCTTATTCTCTCCTCCAAGATCTTACTCAGTAGGGAAAAAACTTGTTGAGCTTCATGGTGCATCCCTTGGTAGGGATTAATCTTCTGGTGTGCATCTTCTGGTACAGTGGTGCGATCCAAACTATCGTAAGTAAAGCTGTCTTTTAGACACTTTCGTCATGCCTGCAGGTACTCTAATGTTCAGAACACTAAAATTGATGCCCTAAGTCCTGAGATGTTTCAAATTCAAGATACTTCTCTGAAACTGTCTTTTTAAAATTTAAACCAAAGTTCAGTCATAATGGAGATGTGCTCTATGGTTAGTAAAAAAATAACTAGATCTCTGTGCCGTGTAATAATTTTACTGAACAAATAGCTCTCAAGATGTACTTTTCATAATTTTTATATACAAAAACCATAGAAGAATAAAGCTTTAAGTAATGGTTTTACAGAGTATGTTGCAGTTCATCATGGCAGAGTATGTTCCCAGATATTCAATACCAAGATAACAAGTCAGAAGTATCTATCATGGGGCATTTGGAATTGTAACAAGCCTTTCTCATCTTTGTAATTTTAAATGATTTTTCAGATGTCCCACTCTTCAGCAGCACTTAGCTTTCACCCAATACAAATTAATCTACAAACAAGTACTGAAAACCTATAGGTCTGATTTAGGGACAACATTCAGCATCGCCTCAGACATTTATTACATGATAAATTAATTTACTAAATGGAAAGTTTCTCGTAAGTAATCTTCAGGTAACTTAAACACATTTAGTTAAGGACAACACACAAATATAAGGTAACTTCTCCAAACAATGAGTTTGTGCTAACATGCAGAATAACACCACTTGCAGAATTTAATTAGTGTAGCTTTTAAAGTATTTGCAAACTTGACTATTTGATTCAGAAGCTATGGCAGTTAAAATGCAATGTTAGCATTTTCAAGGCTACTTTAAAACAAAATGTAATCACACTAATCATAATTTATTTTTTTGTACTTCATTATTTCACTGTAGTCACATTTCAATAAACCAAACAAATAAAGAGTTTGGAATACTAAGTATGAGTGATTGTGCTTTATGAATTATTTTTAATGTGCCTCTAAAAAAACAACCAAACCAAAACCATCCCAACTTAAGAACCAAATTTAAAAATCTGGGTTAAATCTATCAAAAAGCCCAAACCATTGAGTTACCAAAACATTAGCAAGAACAAGGTTTCAGAAAGATGCAACAGTGTGATAACATTTTGAATTTTGACATGTTAAAGCCTTTAGTTTCATTGATGTAAGGTAATTAATTTTTACACCCCCTCTATTTTTTTTTCTTTAGATCACAGCAGAAATTAAGTCATCAAGTGTGAGTGAGTGATTACTCATGCTTACTCTAAATGGCAGACAACACAAGCTACAGAAACCTGGACCGAAGACTACAGTAGTTTACAAACTTAAAACAAAGTTAACAGATATGCCTTCTTGAGGATAATACATAAGAAAGGTTTTAGGAACTTCATATCAATAGCCCATTTCAGACTATGCAGTATTTCTCCTCCCTTCCAGAGGCCTGTGAAATAAAGTGGTAAACATGTTCTCTTCAATATTCAGGTCAGTAGGAGTTTAGTTGCAAAAAGGTTATACTTGCATAAATATAAAAACACATGAAAAAGCAAAATATTTTTAATTAGTAAGCCAATCATAAATAAATTCACCTAAAATTAACAGAAGCAGCAACTGTGTTCCTTCTACATGGATATTTTTTTTTTTTAGCATGTTTTAATAGTCAACTTCATTGTCTAGCCTGGGACAAAACAATTCATCATTGAGTACTCAACAGTTCTGCACACTGAGCTAAGTCTTTTTTTTTAGTTACATTTTTTACATTTTCTTTACAAATGTAATATTTATGTACATTATATATTTTATTTCTACAATTGATGTACTTTACTGAAAACTCTACAACTTTCACAGGGAATTCGCTGAAGGCTTTCGTAAATATGAATCATTCCTTTTAAAAAGAAATTAATATAAACAACCAACATACATCACTGCCCTTTGACATCTCTGTTAAGAATTTGGATCTGGAAGGGCTACTATAATAAATGTAAGAAAAAAGGTTTTACCTAATTGTACATTTTGTTAAGAAATATCATCCCACATAGCTACATAAATTCACCAGCTTGCAATAAACAGAGCACCATACCGCTGCACAACTGGAAACGTGTATAAACCAATTTAAAGTTTACTAGTGAAACAACTTCATCACCTCTAGCACTTTTAGACTGAAGTAAATCTGCAAAATTCTTTTGGAAATGTATACTTCTTCAGCTGTAAAGCTTCCAAAACAGTGCTGGTCACTGTATATTGTGAAGAACAAACATCCACTTTTGTGACTCCCCATATGCTCCTCTCGCCCCATGCTTCCATCCGAAGTCAGGTTTTTTCTTCTATTTATTCCTTGTTCACTTACAAATCTGCTGTTGAATATTAAGTAAGAATTCATAATATGAGAAAGCTGCTTCTGTCCGATCCTCAATTAAATGCTGAAAAAAATCTGTTTTGGCAGGGTTCTCATCTCTGAAAGAAGAGAGGAAGGTATTTTAGTCCAAACATTGAGCAAAAAATCCACTGTAAATTCAAGCAGAGGCATAAGTTCTAATGAATTGCTTATTGTCCTTTGGAGTCTAGATTCAGTCCAAAGATACTATAATTGCAAATAATCCAAAGTTTAGAAAAAACCCTGAAGTTTGTAATGCACTATCAAACAGCAGCATCTTTTTAAGTAGTACAAAATGGTAGAAAAGTGGGAAAAATTCCATTTAAACTATCTTGTGGAAATAGAAAAAATATTTTGGTTTAGAAGTTAACAAATATGCCGGTTGCAATAAACTCTGAAAGGCCTAAATAATCCTGATAAGGATTTTAAAAAAAAAAAAAAAGGGAAAATTTACATCTCTGGTTATGTGTAATCTCAATCCCCTCCCCAGTCTTTCTTAGCTGGCAACAGAACAGAGAATGTAAACATGTCAAAGACCTAGTATCCAAAATCACTGGCCCAATAAAAATTTGCGGGGACACAGCAAATATTTGCTGGGTCACAGTCCTCTGTGCTGGTGTAGTGTGCAGTGAAGCTCTGATATTTACTACGGTGTCAGCACTACTTGCAATTCAAGCAGCAGCCCCAATGCCAACAGTTGAAGAGCTTCAGTCCTGTGTTTAAACATTATCTATCCGAGTAAGAAAGTCATCATACTCTCTAAAATGTGACCTGCCATCCAGCTCAGTAAACTGAGAACTCTAGAGAAGACAAATGAAATGTAAACTTGAGTATAAACATTTTATAGAATTTAAACTTCTTTAAGCGGGTCATGGCTTCAGAACCTGCCTCATTTGTCACAAATCAACTGCTGTCCTATGGAGCTCAGCAACAAATACATACAATTAGTAAACCATCTACAGATTATTAAACTTACTGGATTTTTTTTTTATATGGATGTATTGAAATTATAAAAGCTATACCAGAAATTAACCGCGTTAACCCCAGTGATAAGGGCATCCATTGCTTTAGTATATTCTTAACAATATAAAAATATGCAACTAATTCCTACCAATAAAATATTAGTAACTGAATTTGACTAGATTAAAAAATGACCTTTGTTGCTAAGGAGTTTTAGATAACAGCACTATATCAACTGGAAAGAGGATGTTATTCAGTTTCTTCCAGGGCATATATTCCTACTTTTCATCAGTGTCAATTAGAAATGTAAATACACGTTGCCAATAATTACTCTGTATCTAACAGAAATACTTACTTTATTACTTGAAGAACTGGACTTAAAGGTCTACTGTCTCTAAGCCAAGATATAAAAGATCGTGTCCTTTCTGAAGAAAGTGCATCTACCTCAGGAAGCTGTGTCTGGTTGAAGGTAATTGAAAGAAGTTATCTTTTATTACCAAAACTATTTAAAAAAATAGATCCTGATAGTCATAGCATAACCCAAGCCACATTTTCTATTAGGAAATTACCAACCATACATGAACACATTTTTTTCTTCAGCTTAAAGTACAAAAATTCAGTAATATCTGTTTTGTAGGAAGCAGTACATCTTTAACAAATTGCCCTTTAAGTGCAAAAGATTTTTAGAAAGTAAGCACATTTTAAAAGTCATC